ACAAAAAAAAAAAAAAAAAAAAAAAAAAAAAGAAAGAAAAAAACAAGGAAAGAAATATGAAAAGAGAGATTTGATACTTGAAAATGCTTTCTGTTTACTTTAATGCTCTTAAAAACACATATTTATTTCAGTAAGTTCACATAACGTAATTTTTTAGAAGAACATTTTAAGAATATTGTTTCTTTTCAGTCATTAAAGGGATATTGATGTGTGAATACGTCTGTGCGTGCACTAATGCATATACACATCCCTCGGCATCAGAGAAGTTGTCTGATTTACCTTTAAAATAATTTAATGTGTTGTTTTATTCATAAGCATGTTATATGACTTTTTCAGAAAACCGTATTAAAACTATACACAAAATATTATTTTAAAAACTCTACATAATGATGAATAAAAAGCTATATACTCAGCCAATAAAAACCTTTAAAAGAGAAAGGATGGAGAGAATTCATATATATATATTAAGGAAAGCATGGGAAAATTATTCAGCACAGTTTAAAATAGTGAAACCTTTTGTCTAGCTGACAAGCCAACAGCAGCAGTAACAATGAATCAATACTACCACTGATTCAGTGGTATTGCTTACAAGTCAACTGTTTTACTGTGGAGAAGACTTTTAAGCACATCTTTAAATGTGCTCTAAAACTTCACTGGGATTATGTCCCATATTCAACAAACCCAGAGAAAATTTGTGACCTGCAGGATGCTTTTGAACATACCAGCTGCATTTTTGTGCCTTGGAAAATGAGCTGGTTGAAAAATACATGAATTTATGAATGAGAAATAAATCTTGAATAAATCAGCCAATCATTTTATTATGATTTTTAAATGATGGTAAATCATATAAGAATTGTAATATTTGTGAAAGATCATCGCAAATGCAGGGAGAAAAAGGGAAGCACGTGCATTTAACAGATGAGTCCTTAAAGTTACCATGGGTTCCCAATGAAAATCAAGCTGTCCTTTAAAAGTAGATTTTAATAAAGACTCACTTTTTGAAAATGTCTACGCTAATTATCTAACGGAACAGCTTTATTCCGGCTTTTCGTTCAGCGCTCAATTCTGCACTTAGGCGAGGCGAGAAGATCAAAGAAGTCCACATACCTAGCTTCAGCAGAGTAAACCACATCTACGCTAACAAAAGATACTTTATTTGGGCTTGCTTTATTCTAATCTGTAGAGCTATTCAAAAATCTTGTAACACATTGTGATCACTGTCAGGTAGACAGATTGTCACTTAGTGATTTTCTACAGTTGGACACACTCGACTAGTTATCAAAATCACATTTGAAGGAAGTTCCTACCCCTCTTCCTTGTGTCCGCACAACTTTTCACGCCCTTCTCAAATTTCTGCCATAGCTTCTCCTCCCACCAAAACGAAGCTAAAGGACACTGTTGCACTCTGCTAAACAGGGTGAAATAGAGGCATTCAGTACACTGTCTCTGGTGTAAGGGACATCGTCAAAAAAGGTCACCATAGGCCAAAGAGAAAATTGCCTCCTTACTAGATTCAGTACCGTGAGTAAGTGGTCTCCTGTCATGTTTCTTCCCTGCCCTCTCTGCTGAGTGAATTGAACTTAGGTAAATGTAAATAAATAAATAGCCAAATAAATAAGCGGAGGGAAAGGGAGGGGCAAAGAAAAACGTGAAACAAAAGGAGGCATGGCTCAAAAGCTACCCGCGCCTTCACTGCCTGTATCGACGCACAATACCACATTATCAGCAGATAAATTTCCAGCTCACAAATTTCAAAGCCCCAAATCCAGCACAGGGGAGAACAGCACTTCAGCAGATACGTGTTACTAAATTACTGGGGATGAAAGCATGACTTCAGCTTGCTCACTGTGGAGCAGGGACTAACTTATCCCCACACTCATCACCAAGCACTTTGGTGGTTTCATCGCGCAACACAGGCTGCTCCCTTTGTTGTTCATCTTGACCTGCTCTTTCTGAGCAGAGACACTCTGCGTATCGATTCCTTTTACTTTCTATACAATGCCAAATGCAAAATTCATGTATTTGTTATAGGTCTACAAGTGTTACAGGAATTTGAAACCCTGTGTCCACTTTTAGCTGACCACAAAACAGACACATAAATCATCAAAGAAGTAGAATTTGTCTAAGTTATTGATTATGTAACTGAAAATTACATGACTCATTTGTCCAATTTTATGAGGACACAATGTCAATTTTTCACATAGACATCAACAGATGAAATACGATTCCATTTTTAAATTCCCCATGTCATAAATCAATTAGAGGATTTTTATCAATTATATTTTAAGCAGCATAACGCATCTCCCTCTACGCTTTAAAGCTTCTTTTTCCCGAGATAGCACATCTTTCCTGTCAGTACAATTAAAATAATTAGTAATAACTGAGTTGTTTTTTTTTTTTGGTTTTTTTTTTTTTTCTTCATCTGTGGGAAAAACAATCACCTTATAATTCATATGAATTTCTCTTGGGAAAATAATACACTTTAGACTGTTTCGCTTATGATTCTCTTTCCCTTGTCCTCTGCATTTGAAATTAAAATGTGTAAACAGTAGTAACAGAAAGATTTGGTAGTAACAAGCATTTGATAGTAGCACCACAAAGAAACTAAGTCTGGCAAAACTGCACCTGGTTCCGGATTTAATCAGCCTTAACCTAAACATTTTTTATTTCTGTTAATTTCCATTGAAAATGCATACTTAGCTTTAGATAACATCAATGTAAACATATTTTAAATTCAATTCATTTCTTAAAAATGCAGTCATATGAGAATAGCTGCACCACTAAACTTCAGTGCGATCAGAAAATAAAAAAAAAGTGGAACTCTTCAGTGTGGTTGAACAAAATGCAAATTAATGCAAAACACAATAAAAAATAATCCACTAATACTTAAAAGCAGGCCTTCAGGAAACTTTAATAATAGGCAATATACACAATCTTTGGCATAACTATTTAGCAACCAAAAAAATCACGTTCATTAATAACTTTAAACAGAAGTCATGGTCAGAAGTACGTACCTCACAATGGCATTAAAAATACCAACTTCTGTTCTGATGAATGTACAGTGTTATTAAAAAATGTAGTGAACTAATTCGTGAAATTAGTGAACTAATTACTGAAAATAGTTATTGTAATTCTGGGAAGTTTAAAGTTTGATATGTTTTCTGTGTATGTAATTGTGGAGTTGCTTTTTCTACGGATCCAGTGCACGCAGAATGTTAAACCACTGTGTAAAGCGCTCTGTTTTTTATCATAGTAAAAAGTCAAATTTTGTAACAGCAGTAAGAAAATTTCCCATAAATCAAACATATCTAAGAGAATACAGATGCCACACAGAAGTCATAGTTTGTCTGCATCACCCATTAGTATATCTTTGATGAGAAGTAATAATCAGGATAGGTACTGATAAATACAAGTTCCAGTCTCTGATCTACGAGCTCAGGGGACACAATCACAGTCTCTTTCAGACTGGAATACTCTATAAACAGCTATTTCCTGCAATTTGTTTAATGTTCAGAAAAGTTAAGCTTCAGGATAAGTTGGCAGCAAAACATCAACTGCACCAACTGCTATCAAACTCCAAGAAACACTTCTGGAGGTAGTGGAAATGATGACAGAAAGGGAAGACAGCTGAAAAAAGTCAAGTGTTGGAAAAAATCAAAAATCTCAGTTACAATACCTTCACTACAAAGGCAGAACAATGTAGAAGGGCCTTTTTCACTGTAACGCAAGCCAGAATTGCAACTGTGCTTTGTCTCTTACTGGAAGCTCAAGCAAGCCGTTTGAAATTGAGACAACATGGAAATTATTGCATCTGGCAGTAAGACTGAGGTGGAAAAGAAAAAAAAAAAAGAATCTCAAAGTATTTGAGGTAAACTCTCAATCTTTTGAAACCTCTTCTGCCTGGCCAAATGAATAATGAGCTGAAAGCATTCAGTTCTGCATATTAATCCACCAAGATGGGATACCATATGTGACCAGAAAGGTCAGGGCTGGAGAAGAATCTTTTGACCTACGTAACTATGTTTTTGGACTGCATGCAATGGTCTGAAAGAGACCATTTTCCTAAGCCTTATCACCCTGAATTTCCAAGTTCATACTTCTGTATGGATTGTTTGCGGCAAGACCAGAGTTAATTCCCAAGGGAAATGCAGCTCCAAGTGTTCGTCTCCTAAACCTGCCTGTGGTTAAAGCGGACATGGCAACGTCCATTCATCTTTCTGAAAGATGTACGTTCTGTTTATTCCCCATCTTTTTCACAAGAAGGGAACATATATGTCACTGTTGCGACATCGTAGGTGCAACAGCGGGATGAGGTCATGACAACCAATCAGAAGTCACTAGTGAAGCGTTAAAGTAAACATAGCTGTTGGAGATGCAGCTCAGCTTGAAAAATGCCCCCTCCATTATTTGAGCAATTTTCTCAAGACGTGACCTGAGACTGAAACGCCTGAAATGTCAGTTGACTCCGCTTTCTGTTTCCACCCTATGTACATTTTGGCAACTGCACCCTGCTAACACTTTGCAATATTTCTGTCCCAGCTACACCTCAGCTCTGGCGCACTGAATTCCAGTGCTGTGTCCAAGTGTGTAAAAATGCCATGTTACTGCCAAACATGCATTGTGCCACTAAGTTTCCAACTTAAAATAGCTCATCAAGCTAGGCAGGAAAAGAAAACATGCCACAAAAAGTTTTTAGAAGACCACCTGTTGTCTATTATTTTTACATAGCACTTACTCATAAATCATAACACAGGGTAATTAATCAAGCTGTCAAAGAGAAGGTCAAAGGTTATGTGGGGGAGTCAGAAGGTCATGCATGGGCTGATAGAGGTCAGGGTCACACCGCA